CCGCTTAAGCACGCACCCTCCCGGGCCCCCCGGCCATGCCCCCCCCGTGCCCGCGTGCCCCCCGTGCCCACCATGGCGGGCTCAGCGCACGGGCGGCCGCAGGAAGCTCCTCCCACCGCCTCCTCCGCCCCGCCAGCCAATCCGCGGCCGCTGTCCCTGTGATTGGCAGCTGATCGACCAATGGAGAGGCCGTTCCGCGCGGGGGGGCGGGCTCTTTGCTGCCCTCCGGGAGCGCTGGGCCCGGCGCGGCCTCCGGGCCGCCGGTTCGAGTCCCGGCTCCGCGGGTTCGAGTCCCGTCTGCGCCTCGAGGGGAGGCCCCCGTGACCCCCGCGATTCCTGAGTGGGTTCATGTATGAATATCCATCATAAATCATATCCATGCGTCTTCCAGCACCCCTGGATAGCGCCCAGGTATCCACCAGAGCAGCTCTATGGCTCCCCATCCCCAGCTGGAGGGGACCCGTTAAAGTCACAGGCAAAACACACTCGAGTTGGGGAAATCGGTTTAATTTGTTGCCAATCGAATCGGAGCAGGATAATGAGGAATTAAATCAAATGTCAAAAGCAGCTTCTCCACGCCCCTCCCTTCTTCCTGGGCTTAACTTCACTCCCAAACTCTCTCCTCCCTTTCCCCCAGTGGCACAGGGGGATGGGGAATGGGGGCTGTGGTCAGTTCATCACGTTGTCTCTGCGGTCTTTTACATCCCTCCAGGGCTGGCGATGCCAGGGACAGTCGGTGCCCATCCCACCTACCGTGTCCTTTTCCCCGTGTCTTCCTTGTGGGATAAACGGGATCCTCTCCCGCGTTTATCCCCTTGTTCTGTCTGGTTGCATCTCCCTGTGGGCACTGGAGGAGTTGAAGGCGTTTAGGGCCGGTGCAGCAGCTCCAGGGTGATAAATGGGAAGGGGCTTCAGTGCCCACTACGGTGCCAGGCCCCACATCCCAGTGCCAGGCCCCACATCCCAGTGCCAGGCCCCACATCCCAGTGGGATCTGCGAGCATTCCAGCTGAGCTCGGGGTCACGGAGGGCTGTGACAGCCCCGCCCTGCCAGGACCACCCTGCTCCCCTCCCGGGGGGCTCCGCGGGTGCCGGTGGGTGCCCCTGGTCCAGGCAGGGTGCCGGTATTCCCAAGGGGTTGCCATGGCTATGGATCTCCCTGGCGACGGGATGCGTTTCCCACTAGATGTCGCTTCCGCCCGTGCCCGGAGCGGCCCCGAGGGTTGGGGTACCCGGGTTTGGGGGGGTCCCGCATCTCCCCGCCCTCCCCAGGCACCCCCGGGGCACCCCGGGCAGTGCAGCCCCCGGTGTGCCCCCCACCCTGAGCAGCCCCTCCATCGACGGGGGCTGTGATACCAAAAATCCCCCCCAGATCCCCCAAAGGGACCCGATCCCTCATCTCCAGCCAGGCCAGGCTCCAGGGAAGCAGCTTCCAGGGAAGAAGCTGCTCCATCACCTTTGCTGTCCCCATGTCCCGCCCCCCCCCCCCCCCCCCCCCGCCCCCCCCCCCCCCCCCCAGACCCCCCGGGACCCCCAGACTCCCCCAGTCCTTACACTGGGGAACACTTGGGGCTGCCCAGGGCGGTCCCTCGGCTCCTCTGGAACGAATGCAGAGCCCCAGGAGACCCCCAGAGCCCCCACAGCGCCGGCTTTCAGCCCCGCCGAGGCACAAAAAAAAGGAGGGAAAGGTGGAAGATGGATGCTCGGAGCACCCCTCCCGGCCCGGCCGCCCTCCCCCCGCACACAAAAGCCCCTTTGAGGGCTGATTTTACACCGCTCCTGCCGGGGATGCCCCGATTTGCATCAGCAAAGGGAGCGGGGGCCGCGGGACGCAGCCGGGGCCGCTGGAAAAGTCGGGAATTAACGGGTTTCCAACTCCCGAGCCCGGTCGGGGGGTGCCAGGCCCAGCACCCCGTGTACACCGGGGCAGGGAAGGGGGACTTTTAATCCCCAGGGCTGGCATTCGGCGCCCACCGAGCCGGGATCGACCCCCCGGGGCAACCCCGAGCCACGTCCCCGGGGGACAGCAAAGCCACGGCGACACTCGGGGGACTTCCCGGCCCTGGGCGAGGCCGGGGGCAGCTGGCACCCCTCTCCGTGCCCGTTTATCCCCCCTCCCCTCCCAAAAAAAAAGTTTCCCATTGCGCACAAAGGCGGCGCGGGGCATTGTCCGGGCCCTGCATCGCATTACCCGGCGCTCTCCCGGAGAAATCACTTGTATTTCACGCTCCATTGAGCAGCTGCCTGTATATATTTTCTGTGTTGCACTTTTAGCATGACAAAAGGAGAGGGCCTGTGAACTCCTTGCTCTTCAGACCTCTCCGACACGTCCCCCCGAGCGGAGCCCCCCTCGGTTAGCATAACAAACTGCCACGCTCCCTCCAACGTGCTCCGGGGCTCCCTCCCGGCCCCTTTTTTATTTTTTTTTTTCTCCCCCTTGCTAATTTAATGTATAGCTCAATATTTGGGCGTCTGGGTCGCCGGCGGCGGCGGGCGAGCGCGTGCTGGGCGATTGGGAGCCCGGGATGTCCTTCCCATGGATCCGTGGGGGAGCTTGTCCCGGCTCCACGACGCCCCACGCGGGGTTTTAAGCGGTCCCTGGTGGGATCTCAGAGCCCTCCCTGGGGAGGGGACAGAGCCAGACTCAGCTCCGGGCTCCGGTGTCACCATCAGAGCCACCGAACCCTGCGGTGGATCCTGGGCACTGTCCCCCTCTGCTGCTGGAGCTGCAGGTCTCCAGCTCCTGCTTTCGCCTTGAAATCTGAGTTAAAGGCAGGAAAACAGGAGCTGTGGGGCTGGAGTGAGCCTCGGGACCAGCGGCGCCAGCTTGGTTGAACTGGTTGAACTGGGAGCTGGTGGTGCTGACGGGGTGTTTGTCCCTCAAGGTGGGGTCACACCCCGTCCCCAGGTCCAGGATGGGAATGAGCAGGAGGGAGCAAGGGGGAGGTGACACTCGTGCCCACAGTGCCCCAGCTCAAAGCTGGGCTGCTCCTGCTCCCCCTTCCAGCCCAAAAGGGACAGGGCATCGTCCCCTCTGGGGCTGGGACACCCTCGGGACACCCCTCAGCTCCCACCGTGGGGAAGGAGAGGGCTGGGAGGGGAAAGCTCAACCTGTGGGGAAGGAAACACACCCCGGGCATGGAGGTTCGCAGGGATCTGGGGGTCCTGCAGGAAAAAGGGGCAAAATTCTGCTCAGACACCAGGCTGGGACACGACCAGGGGCTTTCAACACCTTTAATGCGCTGGAATTTTCCCCCTTTCCCTCGCTGACTGCAGACCATCCTCCCGCTGCCTTGGGCTCCGTGTCCTTCCAGCTTCCTGGGATGTCACCTCGCTGTCCCCTCTGGCACTGAGGGGTGAGGAGACCCCAGGTGGGACCCTCTGGGCACACCTGGGGCGGTTTTATTTGGGAAGGGAGGGGGTAAGCCCTTACCCTGGGCACGGGATGAGTGTCCCACGGATCCTGCCCACGCTCCAGAGCCAGCCTGGGCTTTTCTCCGGCCTTCCTCGGTCACCTGGACCCCACAGCGTCCACTCCTGTCACCTGCTGATGGGAGAAACTGGTGTGAGCCCAGTGCCAGCCCGGGAAGAGCCAGGGCCAAGCCCCCATGGCACAGAGGAGAAGTGACTGTGCCACCACCATCCCAATTCCCTTCCCAAATCCCTCCCTCCGTCCCAGTCCCGCTGTGCACTTGGGGACCTTTCTATTGGGGTCTGGCTCTGGCTTCCTTTGGGTGGGGACGGGCAGGAATTTGGGGTCAGTGGGTGTTTAAGTGCCTGGTGGCACCTCGGGGCACCTTGGGAGGGGGCAGGTGGCAGGAGGAGCAGGAAAATCCACATCATTGGAGATGGCAGGAGAGTGGGGTCACGGAATCCTGGACTGGTTTGGGTTGGAAGGGACCTTAAAGCCCATCCAGTCCCACCCCCTGCCACGGGCAGGGACACCTCCCACTACCCCAGGTTGCACCCCCCCTCCCAATTCCAGTCTCCTGCATTATCCCTATGGCTGCCTCCCCCTCCCTGCTCCCAGCTTTTCCCTCTGTCCTTCCTGAGCCCAAATTCCCTCATTAACTGGCTCCCTGGGGCATTCCTTGTGCCCCCCCTGCCTGTCCAGGCTCTGGCGTCTCTTTATGGGGTCCCACATTCCATAAATCCCCCAAAAGTGACTTTTCCTGTTGGCTCCCCCTTTGAGGGATCTCCCACTTTGGGGTTTGGATCTGTGTGGGGTGGGGGGTCAGTGCAGGAGCCCTGATCCCTTCCAGGCACAGGGATTTCCCCAGGGATGCCCAGGGATGCCCAGGAATACCCTGCATCCCAACCAGGATGCCCCCACAGGGATGGGGAAGATGTGTTTGCACGTGCTGATGCTCCAGTGGGAATATTGCTTTTGGAAAAGCTCCTCCTCGATTCCCTTATCCTTTGGATTTTGCCAGAGCCCCCCTGGGCTCCCCCTCCAGGATGCTGAAAATGGGGGGGGGGGGTCCTGCCAAAGGGGTCCCTGCAAGACCAGGCCCCCTCAAACCCAGTTTTCCCACTGCAATTCCATACCAGACCCCCTTCCTGGACCTCCCTCGCCCCTTCCCTGCGCTGACAATCCCACACCTGTGCCCCATCCCAAAGGAGCCTTGTCCAGGTGCCCTGGATCCCCATTTCCAGGGGTCTGTCCAGGCTTCCTGGGATTTTGGGGTTGGCTGTGGTGCCCTCTCTGCCTCCAGGCAGCCAAAGCATCTCCACCTGCCCCATCCCAGCAGTGCAGTCAGGAATGGGAATCATCCAGTGCAGTGGGAACGGGAAGAACCAGATCTGCTTAACCTGGGAAGGGCTGGATCTATTTAAGGGTGAATTTAAGTGACAAACCGAGGTGTTTGGGGCAGGAAAACCAGGATTTCTCACTGACTGGAAGGCTCAGCTGATTTTTCCCTAAGGAGCTGAGCGAGGCCTGTGGATTCTGGAGCAAACCCGAACCCCTTGGGATGTTCCCCCAGCATTTTCTGGGACACAGTGAGAGCCACCAGCACCTTCTCCGTGCTCCAACCCGGGACCAAGGCACCTCCCAGGGAGCCCTGGGGTGATCTGGGGGTTCAAACCTGGGTTTGGGGCACAACCCAGAAGTGCCTG